TGATACTCTTTGCGGAGATGAGAATGTCTCATGTGGACTTTATGGAAGACACAAACACTGTTATGCGACATAAGTTTTTGAAGGTAAGCCTGTTGTTCTTGTTCATACTTTGTATCTTCTGAGTTTTTATTCAAAGTGCGTTCAGCCTTATATTTGCATGCAGAGTTATCACCCAGCGTTTTTTGAGCGTTGTCAGTTGTTCGCCTTCCCTGATATCATCTACTGTTTTTGCGTAGTTTATTATCGAACAGTCTTTTCCGTTTGTTGATTCAGCTGGTCAAATCAGTCTGATTTTACGCGTGCACTTTCGGCAAAAACAGCTGCAGTGTTGTTGTTTATTCTGTCACAGTGTCCGTTGCTGATTTAGGAGTGGAACGACGATCGAGACGCTTTGCAGTACCCTCCGGCGGAAGGGCGATATTCCGTGTACGATGGCAATGGAATTTTTGAGCATCTCCAATTCATAATCAATTCAGTAAGTCATAGATTTTATATTTTCACTTCTGAATCGTCTTCCATTCAATTCGTTATAATTTTTTCATATTTTACTTGAGAAAACCAAACAATCATGGACAGTACTACTACATAATAGGCCCTGTCTCCTTGATAAGGATCAGTCTACGGCGATCTGGTCAAAATTTTGGTCTAGTCGTTTATTAGCATTCTGATAATGACCTTGCTTCTTTTTGACGGTCTTTCTGGTCTTTTTCTAAGGAATCTCTTATACATCCCCGCTTTATGTCATAGTGCACACCAATATGCAGAACACCCTCTCAAACGGAGTTTGGAAGTTCGTGATCCTACCCATCCACCCTTTATTCAAACAAAAACACGCCATCGACACTATAAGTAGTACACCATTGATTTATCTCACATACTTTTTGGCAAGAGCACGTTGAAACCACGTTTTTGCTTGCTGGATTTCTCTAAAAGTGATTTGCTCTTTTTCTATGTGATTAGTCTGAGTATCCATCTACATAAAGTTTAATCACGTTATGACCCTGAACGCGTATTTTAGTACTACTCACTGCAAACGGACTCATTCGCATCATTCAGTTATGACACTCAAAGGGTGCCCAGGAATAAAACTGATGTAGAAGATCCATCTCTTACCGCCGGTATCGATTTTGCAAGCATACCGTTCATTGAGGTGAGTTTGATGACCCCAATGTTCATTTGAAGGCTATTTTCTGCTTTTCAGATATGTGTGGATAGAATAAATAGCGTCACCATCAATAATAATACATACGAGTTTGACATCACTGATGTACATGGTCCGTTGAGTTCACGGCGTTGTCATTGCTTGCAATCTTTATAATTCAGAATGTATGCGTTTAAACCTTACCGCTGAGGAAGTCAAAGAAATACAAGGTGAAACTGATGCTGTCGCCCGTGCTATTGCTAAACGAGGTAATTTTTCGAGCGATGTATCAAATCATACAGAGTATGGTAAAAATCTCTTCAAACTAGGGTTAAGTTTTGGTTTGAGGTTAGCTTTGTAGCTTGAGTTCTACGAGAAAGGAAATACATATGGAAAGTCAGTCATGCACATTTTACTTTGAATTTGTCAACTAGCAGTCTGAATGTTTTTGATTTTTCTT